GTGGAGTAGGACGGCTATATATAGGCAGGCAGAAGTGATGGTAGTAGTAGTAGTAGTAGTAGTACAAGAATGGTATATAATACCGACAAGATGAAATTAAGACACATTGTCGGTATTATATACCATTCTTGTACTACTACTACTACTACTACTACCATCACCTCTGCCTGCCTATATATAGCCGTCCTACTCCACCTCTGGTTAGTGTGATTTTGTCAATGGTCCAAGTCGGACCGAAACGTCGTCGTAAGCTTCTCTCTTTTATGTGCGGGTTATTTGTGTATCGTTCCAGTCACGGTATTGTGCCTTTTTTGTTATTTAAATACTGTTCACTTATATGTTTCACTGTTGGTTTAGAAAGACACGTAAACAAACACTATGACATATTTATTAGAAAACGTTTCGGTCCTGGGACCTTGATCACTTCTAACATCACTTCTAACATGTTAGAAGTGATCAAGGTCCCAGGACCGAAACGTTTTCTAATAAATATGTCATAGTGTTTGCTTACGTGTCTTTCTAAACCAACTTGTCGGTATTTATTACCAAGGTTTATACCATGTTTCACTGTAAACACCTGGTCCACACACCCCCTACCTTTCCTAAATTTCCTAAAGGGAGAGCTCAGGTGTTACACATCGACTTTTTTATTTTTCAACCGATTACGTTCATTTTTGGTGTACTATTAGAAGCTTATATCGAGTATTCTGTGCTGAAGTTTCAATCATATCGGCCAAAAAGAAAATGAAATATGCAAAATTTACGAAAAATTGCATTTGGCAGCGGAGTCCTACTCAGTGGTACTTGGAAAAGTGGTTTTGACACTTCTCTGATGAAACCTCAAATTCCATCATGTAAGTGACCAATTCAAAATAAACCTTTCTTCATGCTAAAAAAAAAAAAAGTTTCATAATTTTTTTTGAATTTGGAAGAGTCGGTTTTTTGCCCCATAAATCTAAAAATATTTGGGTGTTCAAAAAGGGTACACTTTACCTTGTAAAGCAATCTTTCTCTTATTTCGTTGTGAAATCAAGTCTTCAACATAAATAAAGATGGTTTTCCCCCTAAATAGGTAAAAAATTACTTTTTCGAGAAAAGGGCCAAAGCGCGGGGCACCCCGGGTCCCCGGGAAAAAATTTTTTCCCCCCCGAAAAATTCCTTTATTTACATTTTTTGCGTGATACAGTGTTTATTTAGTTAACCATTGAAATTCTTTTTCCCCTTATCACATGTAAGGGGGAACGAACTTCGGGGATACCCGATGGATTTTTTTTCCTTTGGGGCATCAAAATTTTTCTATATATTAATTTTTACGGTGTGCTTTTTATGTTTATATCATTATTTATTGCATTATTTTAATGATCAATTGTGAAGATAATAACCCTTATAATTGAATTAGCGGGGGTAGGAATATTTTGGAAATTTTGGGGGCGGGAGGTGTGGGCCCATTTTGGGACTTACCCGGGGTACCTGACTGATTGATTTAAGAATCGTAATGACACTTTGAAACAAACCATCCCCCCGGCGGATTGAACCCCAGTCATAGAGTCTCAAACCCCCACCCGTCCGTTAGCCATAGACCGCTCCCCAAAATAAGATTCACCCAAAAAGGTATATTTCTACACCATACGGAGGTTAGCACGGGCACCTCTGGCCCACAAATGAAATTTTTTTTCAGACAATTTCCCCAAAGCTACGTGGCCGTGACAAAAACCTGCTCAAGCCCCCTTTCACTGCCGTCAACATGCTTAAGAAATCGAAATGACACATTGAAAAAAACCATACCCCGGCCCGGGAATTAAACCCGCGGTCATAGAGTTCCAAAATCCACCCTGCGTTAGCCACTAGACCAGCTAGCCACAATAAGATTCTTCAACTAGGTATTTTTAACCATAGGGGGGTTAGAAAGGCCCCTCTGTGCCACAAAGCAATTTTTTACAGACGAATCTCCAGCTAGCGTGGCCGTGACGAACTCTAGCTAAAGTCCCTTCCTCCCGTCAAATACAAAGAATCGCAATGCACGATTGCAAAAAACCATACCCCCGGCTGGGATTGAACCCCGGTCATGGGTCTAAAAACTCCAGCCTTTGCGTTACCACTAGACCAGCTGCCACAATAAGTTTCATCCAATAGGTATATTTCTACACCATAGTTGGATGAATCTTTTGTGGTAGCGGCTAGGGCTAACTGAGGGCTGGATTTTTGAGCTTTATGCCCCCGGGTTCAACCCCGGCCCCGGGGGTATGGTTTGTTGCAATCTTTTTACGTTTCTTAAGTCATGTTGACGCAGTGAAGGGGATTGGGTTTTAGAGTTGTCAGGGCCCACGCTAGTGGGATTCGTCTGAAAAAAACTTGCATTTTGGCCAAGGTGCCTGTGCAAACCCTCCCTTGGTGTAGAAATATACTATTGGGAGAATTTTATTGTGGCTAGTGTCTAGGGGGCTAACGCGACGGGCTGGATTTTTGGGGAAACTCTAGACCGGGGGTTTCAATCCGGCCCGGGGGGGTTTGGTTTGTTTGCAATCGTGTCATTACGATTTTTAAGTCATGTTACGGCAGTGAAGGACTTGAGCTAGAGTTCTCACGGCCACGCAGCTGGAGATTCGTCTGTAAAAACTTGATTTGTGGTCAAGGGGTCCCTGGCTAACCCCCCTATGGGTAGAAAACCTAGTTGGATAATTTATTGGGGCTGCTGGTCTGTGGAAAGCAGGGGGCTGGATTTTTGGGAGCCTATGACCGCGGGTTCAATCCCGGGGGGGGTATGGTTTGGTTTCCTGATGAATTCTTGATCATATTAGCTCCGCCCGCTCGGCATGATGTCAGATGGTGAATTTGCATTATATGAGACATCAAAAGATATACGAAAACGATAAAAAAAAAACGGGGGAAAATAAACAAGCCCGTCAGGCTTTTTTAAAAATTCCCTCCCTGTCACCATGCTGTTATAAATGGCTGTAATTTGTTTTTGAAACATCGTACAGGATAATAAATTTTAACCAGAGTGTGCCGAAAGTTCAGTATTTTTTTGGTAACAATAACTCCCTTTTTTTTTTTTTCGAATTTTTTTTTTTTGCTCCAGTGAGGAACCTGACCCCACCCTAAAACCCCCTTGTTCACTCATCCCTTTTTCCCATTTTTTCTTATTCTTTCAAAAATAACTTACCATACACTTTACCAGGTATACTCAACGACTTATTCCCTATAATTTTTGCACTCTTTTTATTTTCCCCTTTTCCTTTTACAAAGGAAATATCATGCTTTGCCAATCCCTAGGTACCTTACCCTCTTTCCATACATTTATTAAATAAAGCACCAACCACCCCAAAACTATATCCCCACTGCTTTTTTAAAAAAATTTTATCTTTATCCCACAATCCCCGGGTGCCTTACCCCCTTTCATTTTACCCCACTGCCTCACGAACTTCCCAATCTAACGACTCTTTCTCCCCTCCTACAAAATTTATTCCCCCTTGCCCTTAAAAATGAAATCACAGTGGGGCATAATAAGCATGTATGCACCCGGAAAGAAGGAATGTAGAGGGAGAGAGAGATTTTGGGGATGTTAAGTGAATGAATAGGAACCTTTGAACCCAAATGAGAGAGAATTGGGAGGGGGCCTGAAAATAAAATAGGAAAAACTTTTAGGGGGTGTGGAAGTAATTTTTGGGGTGCCAGGTGTAAATGATAATGGGAGTCCTTTTTGAAACTTTGTTAGAAAGGGTTTAGTTGTAGGAAAAATATTTTAAAAAAAAGAGGTAAAAAAATACAAAAATTTATTTAGGGCGAAATGACGTCTTTGTTGGGTTATTATTATTGTAAAGATGTTAGTAGACTTTTGGATGTACATGTTTTTGAGGGGCCCAGATTATGGGTCATTTTTAGTTGTGTACATGAATAAAAGGGAATGGGGAAAAAGGGAATGAAACATAGGGAAAAGGGGGAAGGTTTATAAACTAAAAAGGAGGGGAGTTTGGGTAAAAATATAAACAGTTATTGGAGGGTAGATGGGCTAATGAGAGCATAGGCAAAGGGATCGAAGAGGATGGGGTAGGTTTTAAAAAAAGTAGTGTTAGAGTGTTCACAAAGTTTTGGTTACAGGAAAGGGGTGCGGGGGGGAAGAGGAGCGATTGGTGAAAAAATGAGTAAGAAGTAGTAAAGGAGAAAAAATTAGCATAAAAAGAGGGAAGGGGTTTTTCTCGAGTTTTTTTGGGCCCAAAAGAAAGTTTGAGGGAAAGGGGGGGTTGAGGGGGGGGCTTTTCCCCCGGCCCCCCGGAAAACCCGGTATAGAATTTTTTAAAATCAAAGGTGCAAAGGGAAAGAAAGAAAAAAAATTTTTGGGGGTTCCCCTCCCCCTGGGTTTAATCTAACCAAAAAGGGTTAGCACAGACCACTGTGACACCCAAAAAAAATTTGGGGGCCCCCCAAGTTTTTTTTAAGGGGCATCTTAAAAATTGCTTTTTGGTCACGTGGTGCCTGTGCTAACCTTCCTATGGGATAAAATATTCCTAGGGAGAAACTTATTTTGGCTAGCTGGTCTAGTGGCTAACGACGGGCTGGAGTTTTGAGGCTCTATGACCGTGGGTTCAATCCCGGCCGGGGGTATGGTTTGTTTGCAATCGTGTCATTACGATTTCTTGAGTCAGAGTATTGAAGCAATGTAAAAAGAGAGCAAATGAGAGAGTGGGTGAGATGTTATCAACAAATTTTGTTGAAAATAAGAAAAAGTTTTGGAGTGAGATTAACAAGCTGAGGAAACCTTAGAGAAAAAATGGATTTATCAGTTAAAAATAGGAGAGGAGAGTTATTAAATGGAGAGTTAGAGGTATTGGGAAGATGGAGGGAATATTTTGAGGAATTGTTAAATGTTGAAATGCTTTTATACTAAGTACAAAATATTTTTGAAGAAAAAATGTTTAATTCTCAGTCTGAGTCGCAACACTTTATGTAAGTTGCAGCAGTGTGAGTGAAGAATTTCTTGTAACAAGGTAGTGTTGCCACAGATGAAGCTGACACACCCGCGGGTGGAGGCTGGGACACAGGACGCCAACCTGCTGACCACACTCGGCATGACCAAACTCTCACAACTCTGGCATAAGGATGTAAGTTATACCACCACCCACCAAATTTGATCTTTAATGAATATATACCATCACACACTCAGCTGAAATCATTATATTTCATATTACACGAACAAACCATTATATTATATTATTATTGTTATTAAAGTTATGTTCTCACTAATGGTTATAACTAACACCATAATTTTTAAAGGGGTGGATCGGTGAGCCAGCTGAAGACCTCGGTCATATGACCAAAAGTCCCAACGACGGGTTATCATGTGACTAAGACCCGCGCTTGGAAACACTTGTCCTGTTTCCTAACGAACTTTACCTAACTTAACCTATTAAAGTTATTATTATTATTATTATTATTATTATTATTATTATTATTATTATTATTATTATTATTATTATTATTACAATCGTAATTTAGCGTTAAACCTACAATTGTTATACATCATCATATTATATCAACCCGTTACCATCACATAGTACACCACAACACCATCACATAGTACACCACAACACCATCACATAGCACACCACAACACCATCACATAGTACACCACAACACCATCACATAGTACACCACAACACCATCACATAGTACACCACAACAACCATCACACAGCACACCACAACACCATCACATAGTACACCACAACACCATCACATAGTACACCACAACACCATCACATAGTACACCACAACACCATCACATAGTACACCACAACACCATCACATAGTACACCACAACACCATCACATAGTACACCACAACACCATCACATAGTACATCACAACACCACCACATAGTACACCACAACACCATCACATAGTACACCACAACACCATCACATAGCACACCACAACACCATCACATAGCACACCACAAACACCATCACATAGTACACCACAACACCATCACATAGTACACCACAACACCATCACATAGTTCACCACAACACCATCACATAGTTCACCACAACACCATCACATAGTACACCACAACACCATCACATAGTACACCAAAACACCATCACATAGTACACCACACACACCATCACTAGTACATCACAACACCACCACATAGTACACCACAACACCATCACATAGTACACCACAACACCATCACATAGTACACCAAAACACCATCACATAGTTTACCACAACACCATCACATAGTACATCACAACACCATCACATAGTACACCACAACACCATCACATAGTACACCACAACACCATCACATAGTACATAACAAACACCATCACATAGTACACCACAACACCATCACATAGTACATCACAACACCAATCACATAGTACACCACAACACCATCACATAGTACACCACAACACCATCACATAGTTTACCACAACACATCACATAGTACACCAAAACACCATCACATAGTACACACCACAACAAAATCACATCGTACACACAACACCATCACATAGTACCACAACACAATCACATAGTACACCACAACACCATCACATAGTACATCACAACATCCATCACATAGACACCTCAACACCATCACATAGTATACCACAACACCATCACATAGTACATCACACAACACCATCACATAGTACATCACAACACCATCACATAGTACATCACAACACCATCACATAGTACATCACAACACCATCACATAGTACATCACAACACCATCACATAGTATACCACACAACACCATCAATAGTACATCAACAACACCATCACATAGTACATCACAAACACCATCACATAGTACATCACAACACCATCACATAGTACACCACAACACCATCACATAGTACATCAACAACACCATCACATATGTACACCACAACACGTCAATCGTACATCACAAACACCATCACATTGTACACCACAACACCATCACATAGCACACCACAACACCATCACATAGTACACCACAACACCATCAATAGTACACCACACACCAACACAAGTACACCACAACACACCATCACACATACATCACAACACCATCACATAGTACACCACAATGCCACATAGTACACCAAACACCATCACATAGTACACCACAACACCATCACATAGTACACCACAACACCATCACATAGTACACCACAACACCATCACATAGTACACCACAACACCATCACGTAGTACATCACAACACCATCACATAGTACTCCACAACACCATCATATAGTGCAATACAACACCATCACATAGTACATAACAACATCATTACATAGCACATCACAACACCATCACATAGTACACCACAACACCATCACATAGTACATCACAACACCATCACATAGTACACCACAACACCATCATATAGTACACCACAACACCATCACAATAGTACCTACAACACCATCACATAGTACACCACAACACCACACTAGTACCCACAACACCATCATATAGTACACCGCAACACAATCACATAGTACTTCACAACACCATCACATAGCACACCCCAACACCATCACATAGTACGCCACAACACCATCACATAGTACACCACAACACCATCACATAGTACACCACAACACCATCACATAGTACATCACAACACCATCACATAGTACACCACAACACCATCACATAGTCACACCACAACACCATAACATATACACCACAACACCATCACATAGTACATCACAACACAATCACATTAGTACACCACAACACCATCACATAGTGCATCACAACACCATCACATAGCACACCACAACACCATCACATAGTAACAAACAACATACATAGCACATCACACACCATCACAAGTACACCACAACAACCATCACATAGTACACCAGAACACCAAATAAATTTACTCCACAACTCCACACATAGTACATCACAACACATCCCATAGTACACCACAACACCATCACATAGTACATCACAACACCACATAGTACACCCACAACACCATCACATAGTACAACCACAACACCATCACACTAGTAACACCACAACCATCACGTAGTAACATCACACCATCACATAGTACACCAAATCATCCATCTATGTACACCACAACACCATCACATAGTACCACAACACCATTACATAGCACATCACAACCCATCACATAGTACAAACCCCAACACCATACAAGTACATCACAACACCATCACATAGTACACCAAACACCATCATATAGTGACTCACAACACTATCACATAGTACGCCACAACACCATCCATAGTAAAACCACAACCCATCACATAGTACACCACAACACCATCACATTTGTACATCACAACCCCCATCACATAATACACCACAACACCATCATATAGTACACCACAACACCATCACATAGAAACTCACAACACCATCACATAGTACACCACAGCACCCTCACATAGACACCAAACACCATCAATAGTACCCACAACATCATCACATACAAAATCACAACACCATCACATAGTACACCACAACACCAAACTATAGATAACCAACCATAACCCCCCATCACATATACATCACAAAATCATCACATAGCACACCACAACACCCTCACATATACGCAAAACACCTCGCATAGTACACCACAACACCATCACATAGTACACCACAACACCCTCAAAATAGTACATCACAACACCATCACATAGTATATCACAAAAAACCATCACATAGTAAAACCACAACACCATTTACATAGTACAACCACAACACCATAACATATTACACCACAACTCCCATCACATAGTACATCCACAACACAATCACATAGTACCCAAAAACACCATCACATAGTAAATCACAACACCATACATAGACACCAACAACACCATCACATAGTCACCACAACACCATCACATAGTACACCACAACATCATCACATAGACATCACAGCACCACAAATATACACCACAACACCATAACACATTCACCAAGCTCCATCACATAGTACATCACAAAACCAAACATATAGTACCCCACAACAAATCACATAGTACACACAAACACCACATAGTACACCACAACACCATCACATAGTACACCACAACATCATCACATAAACACATCACAAACCCACATAGTACACCCGCAACACCATCACATAGTACACCACAACACATCACATAGTACATCACAAAACCATCACCCTTTAAAACACCCCAACACCCTCACATAGTACACCACAAACCATTACATAGTACACCCCAACACCATCATACTACACCCCAACACCATCATGCAGTACACCACTACATCACATAGTAAACAACACAATCACTAGTACACCACAAAAACCCCAATAGTAAACCAACACCATCATATGGTACACCATACACCATCACATAGTACACCACAACACCATCACATAGTACACCACAACACCATCACATAGTCACCACAACACCATCACCTAGTGCACCACAACACCATCACATAGTACGTGACAAAAACCATCACACAGTAAAACCACAACAATATCATATAGTAACCACAACACATCAATAGTACACCACAACACCTCACATAGTACACACAACACCATTACTAGTACATCAAAACACCATACATAGTACACCACAACACCATCAATAGTACATTACACACATCACATAGTACACCACAACACCATCACATAGTATACACAATTCCATCATATAGTACATACAAACACCATACACATACATCACAACCCCCATCACATATGCTCAAAAACACCATCACACAGTACACCAAACCCCCATCACAAGTCATCAATACCATGCACAGTACATCAAAAACACCAACATAGTACAACGCAACACCATCACATAGTACACACAAACCCATCAATTTGTACACCACAAACACCATCAAATACTACACCACAAAACCATCACATAGTGCACCACAACAACATCACCCTAGTACACCACAAAACCACCCATAGTACACCACAACCCATCACATAGTACACCACAACACCATCAAAATACTGCACCACAACAACCATCATATAGTACAACCAAACATCACATAGTACCAACAAACCACCATCAAAGTACACAACAAACCCCATATACA